CTTTATAGATTAGAAATATCTGATTTCAAGATATTTTAAGTCACTTTTCTAAAGTATAAGATAAACTATGCATCTATGAACTAGATTTTAAGAGAACACAAATAGCAAAATCTTGTTAAAAGAGCACTTTATCTGTTACTCTTTGATAAGAGAAAAAAAATCGATAATGAAACAGATATTTTACTTTTTGATAAAAGAAAGAATTTGATGTGCATTTGTGATACACATTGTCCTATTAAAGTGTAAAACTGCTTTCCATAAGAATATAAAATTTTTGAATGAGTTTATAATTAAATTAATGTTTTTTAACCAAATATTTTTAATTAATTTACATCCTAATTTTTTTCAAGATTTAAATTAATTAAAAACATCTAGAAATGTTTTTTTGTCTGAAAAATAAAATAGAAATTGTATAAATTGTTTAATACTTTAGAACACTATACATATACTTGTGGATCGATATTATACACAGAATAAAACATGCTAGCAACATCGAGAATCCATCCGGTTCGTGTCGAGAGGAGTATTCTGTGGTACGATTCACAAATCCAGCGTGCTAAGAATCGATGAATTATGCAACATATCGAACGATAAATCTTGGGATTAGCCAGGTTTGATCGGATTAAACGTATTTCGTTATTTATACTCCACGTCTAGATACAGTCAATGTTTCGGACATGCGGCACTTCCACAGGGAAATGAACAATTTCCATTGTGGAGTGTCTACTGAAACCGTATGGCGTGGAAATCAATACAGAGATATCAATATACATTACGTTGCAGGTTAATCTAATTATTTCAAATTATCTCTTGATTTTTCATTATTTCAATGCGCTAATAATCGATCAGAAATTCGTAACTCACAATAGTCACGATATTTTATCAGTGTCGCGATGTTTTATAATAAAATTTTTAATGAAAATCACAAATTGAATGAAACAATTTAATTACATTATATCGCTATTCTTTGGAATAAGCTATACACTAGAAATTAATATTTCATATATGATTCACAAATTGTAAATTTTCATCGAGTGATGATGAATATTGCTTTGTCTTATATTATGTATAATACAAATCAATGCCGCTATATATCATGAAAAATTGCGTAAATTTGATGAATTTAACAACTCTGGAGATTAATACAATCAATTTGTAAAATCAATATTAATTTAAATGAAATATTACAATACTTTTGTCTTCGTAATACAATTTTAAATAATATTTGCACACTAAATGATAATTTAAACACAGTGGAAAATATTATTAAGGAGATTAATATTTCCCATAAATGTATTTAAATTACTGTAGAATTCTATAAAAGATTTATATATATTGAAGTTATCTTTTTATCTCATATTATGTTGAATGCCATTTAATGTCATTTCGCACGACATAGTACAATTTTATTCTGGATTATGATGGATTATCTGAGTGCTTAACTTCCAGCAAAATTGCTATCAATTCTTGGGGCAAAGTTTTCCAGTTAACGCAAATTAAACGTTCTGCCGCAAGTTTTGCGAAGAGAATTGTTTCGCCCTCGATTGGTCCGAACGTTTATGAAACGCCAGCCGATAAACGAGCGATAAATTGGGGCCCGCCCGGACGATCATCTTTCATCATTAAGCAGTAGAACACCGCGCCACCGCGGCGAAGTATCGTGGGGAATGTAAGACGATTCCCTCGCGGAAGCTTATTTCGGGATGTCACGGATGAGAAGAAGTGCAAACGAACCGACTGCAATTATGCATTTACGTGACTCCCCTCGCTTCTGATTACTTCGCGAAAATTCAGCGCCCCTGAAAAAGAAGTCGACTAAACTTCGCGAGCTCATAATCGCCTATCAGCAAATTAATTCTACGATCGTTAAGCGGGGCAATCGATAAAGCAGATCACGTTTCGTCATTAAATCTTTCCTGACAGACACTTTGCAGAAAACGTTTATATAATATGCTCGCGAAAGAGAATAGCCTATAAGTAAAAAGTATCGTTTCTTGAACACTTGACCGACACGTAATGAATATAATTAACGTGAATCATTATATTTTACAATAAAAATTAAATATTAAAAATTATATAACTGAAATTATATCTATATTGCTTATTGTCTATATTTCTTTTTAACGTTAATTAGCGTTTTAGTTTTGTTAATAGTAACAGCATGCTAATTCTACTTAGAAAAGCAGAGAATGATAAATTCGATGCGTTTCTGTATATGTGCGATTGCATATGGAAATAAAGAATTATTCCGAGCAAAATGCGTTAAATGCCAACGGTAAAATACGGATATAAATAAATATGGATGGTTTTAAATGGCGAAAATGCGAGAATAATTAGATTTGTACGTAACGGAGTAAAAATTACGCTCAGCTATGTTTTGTATTCACATAGCCATATATGTGTACAAAGTGTTCATTAAATCGGATAATTTCTCTTAACATGTAAATGAATTGCATGACGTATAGTGTGTACTGAATAATTCTAAAACTGTACATTATCATAATATAGATAAAGATAAAACATTCGATTATGGTTAGCAACAGTAAAGAATTTATCATAAAACTATCATATATAGCATTAAAAATTCGAAAACCGATAATTGATGACTTCTTAAAAAAAAAAAATTTTTTTTCTTTTTATCAGAGAAGCTATTTATATGTAATAGTTCATATTTACTTCATAATTAGAACAGTGCCAAATAATATAGTTGAGGGTCATCTGGTATAAATTTGCGAATAGAGCGGATCGGGTTGATCGTCTTTCATCATTAATGCTCTCTATGGTCACGTAACCGACGCCTTGCGAGAAATTCCACAAGGGGTACAAACGGCTTCCACTCTGCCAGAACTTACGCTATCGCTCTAGAGCGAGCGAGGAGCGTAGATAATCTTCGATCGAGCGCGCGACCTCAATCGAAGTTCATCCGGGTACGAGGCTGGAGTGCTCACACGGACACAAATAATGCGATCAATTACGCGGTAACTTCCCTCGTTATTTTATACAGCGACGCGGCGCAACTACGAAGTTTGACTTAATTCGAGAAAGCCATGAGTCGTGAGAAAGTCGTGAGCCATGCTTTACTCATATTGGCAAATCAAAAAAACTCTATAGATTTTTAAAATTAGTTACTTAAGTTCATATTTACATTTGCTGCATATAATGTTATTAACAATTCTATAATACATAATATAAATAATACATTTTAATTGTGTTTGATTTTTAACTTGTGCTATAATTTGTGTATGTACACAGAAAAATAAATGCTGTTGCTTCAATTAAAGTCTACGTCACGGGCTGCCACAGACATAAATAGTTCACATTATTTTTTCCGTGTATGTGTATGTATGAGAGTTTCTTCAAAAAATTTATTGATTAACTGAGAATTTTTTCTGATCAAAAATATAATGCTTTTAGTAGCTATTTCTATAAGCGCTATTCAAATAATTTAGCAATTGTTTAGCGCATATACCATTATAATAAATAAAAACGTGCTAGCTAATTTATTTGTATTATTAAATTTTTTAGATATTTTTTCTAAAAAGATCTGTAATTTACCCTTTTTCTAGAGAAAGGTTAAATCTATATTATTATCAATTCTTCGATTTTGTAATAAATATTTCATATTAAACATTACGATCCTGGAAAACTGCTAAGGTTTCGGTGAATCAATATCATGACAATTGAAATAAATTACACATGTCAATTTTTGATTGCGGTAATATTTGTATTAATCATATCCCGATAGAGAAGTTAAAGACACGCGAGTTATGGACTCGCTGGGTTTATCACTAAATTTATAATGCGACAAACTTGAGTTGGCTATGCATTGTTAAATTAATAACCCGTTATAATCGAATTAATGATCCGCTCATCCGCGAACAGGAATCGTAGTATCCAGTAGCTGTGGTTAGCAAAACGTGGCTAGGGCATACCTACAGTTATTGGTTTCCGTCCAATTATTGGAACCTATCTTCCCTCTGCTGTCAGTGTGTTCTAGTCAAATAGAGAATATTATATTACATGGCATAAAAAATTAATATTTTTAAAGATAGAGATCACAGATTAGTTACGAATATACAGCACATTTTAAAACTGTCACATAACATCTCTTACTTTTAACATTTTCAAATTTACAATACTCTCTTTTATTTTCCCTTTTTTGGACCTAATTTTATTTTACATTATAAATATTTTTTTAGATCGTATTGCTACTGCATGAAACGTATCTTATTGTTAAAATTAATTCTACGGAAATATACATTTTTATTTTATGCCAATATATATTGCACAACATCTAGTTTTACAGGAATACTAATAAAAATACGCTCTTATAGTGAATAACCATAGGACCGCTGTAATTAAATTGGAATTTATTTTCCAGTCCGTTGCCAATAGTGTCGGAATATTATTTCATTGTTTCGCTAATAATTGGCGTTGTGTGCAAATTGCATGAAAGCAGATTTTCGCGCTCGTGACCTGGTTTATATCCCTCGGTATCTCATTAAAAATCAAAATTCACCGGCGTTGACCTTAATCGATAAACGCTATTGATAATAATAATATGCATAACTTTTTCTCTTCTTTTATGCTCGTTTATATTTACAAATAAAACAATTTTTAGCTAATTTACAATAATCTTTTTTCAGACCCTTATATTTCGCATCTGTCTATAATTATTTTTATAATTATAGACAATTATTATGTAAAGATATATATATATATATATTATAATTTTATTTATTGTTTTATTAATAAATTTATTTTTATGATCTTCTTTGTATCATTTTCTATAGATTAAAAGTATCTATAAAAAGACACAACTTTTATAAATTTATTATATATGTCACTTATATGTATTCTTCGATATTTTATAAATAAATATGTATTCATAGCGGAAAATTTCCACGCTACGTACCGACATCCGTTTTTAATTCCGTATTTTAAATACGGTCATTTTTTATATTAATCATGTATGCAACATATTCCTTAGGACAACTCACCGCTCCTTCCGGTCGGCGTCGGCGCGGATGTGGACCTGCCGGTGGGTTCCGGGATCGGGTAGGGTAGGTCGCAGCATTCCCGTTCGGGGAATTCGCTGGCGCGAGCGCAGCAGCAGGATAGCGCGACGAGCAGCATCGTCAGGGTCGTCAGTAGGGCTCGCGAACGCGACGCGAGCGTCCCGACGACGCGCGGCGTGACGCGCGCCGTTGGAACATCATAATGCCCCCTCATCGGTCCTACCAATCGTGAACTGCGAGCGAATTCGCACCGCGAGATCTCTCTTCCGTTCTCCCCGCTCGCAGCATCCTGCGAGCCGCGGTACCACCCGGTTCCCCAAGTATCACTTCCGCCGTCCTCGTCGCCGCCGCAACCGCGAGTCACCTCGACGGTCCCCGCGGCGCGATCGTCATCGTCATCACACATACACACTCGAATCCTACACTCGCAGAAATGCAATTTCCGCTGGCGGATACGCGGATCCGTCTGCGGAATCGATGGCACGGCGAGAGAGAGTTTATCTTTGCTCTCAATGTTGTAATGACTGTTTCGAGATGTTACTTGATTATTTCAGGACTGTTCCTATCTCTATTCGATTATTCGGATCTGTAACTAGTTCTTTATCGTGTAGTGTCTTGAGCAAATTAGCTAAACGCGGAATTAAAAGATTTGAGTACTTCCCATAAGCGTTTATTGAGAATTTACGAGAGATTCTTCTTCTATCATTGATTTAGATTTAATGAATCAATCTTACAAGTAATTCTGATTTTTAGCAAGGTATAGATTAATCGAAATTTTTTACTTGCAAATATTTAACACTTACAAATTATTCTCTCAATGTTGACGATCTTTTTCCTAGTACACCATGATACGAACACAAAATCGAGAAAATTAAACGTTTTGTTAAAATTTTTATCATATTCTCGTGGGTGCAGGATCTATCTAGATCATTCACGATCTTTTGGATAAAAACTAAAATTATGTAGATCCACAATGAAAAGATCGAAACATTGCTTGACGAAAATATTTAGCAAGATTTTACTGTGTGTATGAGAAAGCCCTCTCTCTCTCTTTCTCTCTCTCTCTCTCCCTCTCTCTCTCTCTCTCTCTCTCTCCCTCTTTCTTGCAGACTTAAAATTTATAAATTCTTCTCACGATACTAAGAATCTTTCTCCAGCGAGGCGTTAAATGAATTAAAGGATAAACACTTTGCAAAAATGTTCTCCAACGCTTCTCATTAAGACACTTCTTGCAGTTTTAAAGATCTTTTTTTGTAAATTTGTAACCTATCTCACTTGAAGTATCTCTTTTTGTATATCAAGTTTAAGACACTTCCAAAAAATATTGCACTACTCTCCACTACACTGAATCTCCTTTTATCTTTCAAGATTTAGGATTGATAAATTCCCCAAATCCAAGAAGCGAGGATTTTTTGAGCAACGCGCACGGCTTTGATTGGAAGAATATCGATATTGAAATAACGAGGATCACGCGGTCTTCTCATTCATCCTCTTCAGATCGTAACACACGTGCACATACACACACACACTTACAATCTATCCATTAAAACTCGTCAATCTTCCGGAAGATTGAATTATCTGTGACCTCTTATCGATGTTCCCCGCGCAATCTCGTTGACAGATTCTCACGATCGTCGTCACTTGCAAGAACGACTAGTTCGACGATCCACGATAACTAATATCATTTTCGCACGAGATTGATGTCCCCGAGAGAAGTCAATTGATCGCTGATCTCGGAGCGACGTCGCAATCTTCCTCGAAGTGGATCGGCGAATTTTCCTGCTTTCAGATGTGTGTCTCCTTCGAGGAAGCGTTCGCTCGCGCGATTTTCGCAAGTTTGCAAAACGAATATTCCACCGAGGAATCCCTGAAAAGGATTCCGTCCTCGTGTCACGGCACTTCGCGATCGCGCTTTCGCGTTTTGGAACCGAGAGCGCGGCGTCGTGGCGGCGTCCCGACGCCCAATGACGCTGAGGCCACTCGGCGTACAAGCGAGAACCGCTGCGAGGACGTCCACCCCCGCCAACCCCTGTACTCTCCGGCTCGTCGACACGCGATAGCTCCTGCGCACGAACTGGCGCTGGCTTGCTCGCCCATGTGTACGGGGTGGCGCGGACATACCCCTCGGTACATAGCAGAAAATAAGTTACGTGCTGATCGTTCCATTTTTTGTGTTGTAGCATCGATAATACCCGAGAAATTTCAATATCCGCGATTGAAATACATTATAAATTGCATATTTCACTCTTAAAACGAAGAGAGTTTTGATTTGAAGAGTAAATTGCAACAATTTATAGAACATCACCTCCTTTTTAGTTAGATTCCAATTTTAATTCTATTTTTAACATAAAAGAAATTTTTTGACAAGATTAATCATCGAAAGATTTAACGCTTAAACGGCATGTATTTTATATCTTTTCGAGAATTACATTAAAATGCGAATAATGCAGAAACGACAATAATAAAAAGATCTTGTATTAAGCTGCAAATTTAAAGTTAAGAAACAGATCTGTACGAATCGGGCATCGTATTTAAGATTGAAAAAAGTCTCCTTCGTCGAATTTTTGAATTTTCGAAGGAAGATTTGATTCATTATTAGATGGATCAATATATTAAAAAATTCACGAGTCGTAAGAGAGACGATGCGAAAAGTTCCGGACACCCCATAGAGTACGTATGCAGGTGTGTGTGGCTGCGCGTTGCAGGTGTGCAGGTGGAGTGCCGCGACGGTGTCCCCGCGCGGCGTCGTCGCGTCGAATCGAGCCGAGCAGTTCCGAGAGGGGCAAACTACCCCCGGCTAGGAGCAGCTAGCCTGCCGCGGCGCCGGTGGGCCGCGAAGCAAACGCGCGACCCTCGTTCGGCATCGTGTGCGCCGTTCCTGACCTCATTTCGCCCCGGCTTGTCGAGGTCGGTTACGCGGAAGTGCCCGCCGGCTGGCTCGACTATAGTCGTCGTTTGTAACCAGTCTGGGGATTGTTTAAATATGTATAACGATGTATTGATATATCCCTCACTCGAGCACATTTTCGACATCGAACACCGCAAACACCGATGACTATTCGATAGTCTTTCTGCGAACGGTATCTTCGGTATCTCACTGTATTGACAATGTTCGCGATAACCGAGAAAAGCGGTCTCTAGAAGCGATAAATCAATACGGATAAAGGGGAATAATTATCATAAGTGTACATGAGCATTTCTTAGAATCGACAGATAACTGTTTTTCGTTTAGCATTTTGTTCAGCGAGAACACGTCAATATTTTCCATTCGATACTGCGTTTTAAATATTGTTGTAAATTTGCAGTATCAAAGTGTTTGATATCGAATTTCGTACAATAAGAGTAATATATTGATTATCGCGTTTTCTCTTTGTATTGTTACAAAATGGATATAATTGTATTTAAGAAAAATTGATTAAATTTGTATATAATTTAAATAATAATATTAATCATGAAATTACAAACAATCAAGATGAAGCGGTTTAAGACTGAATTAATAAATTTATTTAAAAAGATCATTTTTTATATATAAAAGACATACTTTTTTGCCATGATTCTACACACCGCGGAGTTACAGGTATTCTATAACGAGAGATCAAATATGACCTAGATTTTCCATTGTGTCTCGAAAATTTAAAATTTATACAAAGATTAATTAAAAGAGATGGATTATAATACTTGACATACATGTCTGGAAAAAAAATGTCTCACATTTTCAATTAGAAGTTATTGCTTTATATATTTATCAAGATAATTTTCCTTCTTAGATAATATTTTCTTTATGAAATCCAAAAGGAGATCTTTGACCTATATCTTTCATATACTTGGTAATAATTTTGTGTCTAATGTGTGTGTGTGTGTGTGTGTGTGTGTGTATCTTTTCAGATATTTTATTATCTTAACAAAGAGATATATGAAAGACAATTAACAAAAGAAATAAAAATCAAAGAATTATTAAAAGAAATTAAGGACGAAAATGGAG